TCACCCCCTTAAGGCATAATTTCCGGGATAAAAAGTATCCAATGTCCTTCACAGGGTCTCAAACTATCTTCTTACCAAATTTTACCCCCTATTACCCCCTACATCCTCACAAACTCATAATCTAACAAACTTTACCTCTTTATAATATTAATATAGATTATAGACATAATAGGGTATATTATAATAGAAAATAAATATTTAATTATGAAGATCAAGGGAAGCGAGTGTAGGAATATTATAAACGCTAAAGACATCTAATAAATAAATATAATAATAAATTTTGGGACATTAACACACAACACCATATAGTTCCATGGTAAGATACGAGGCTTGCAAACATTCGTGCTCATCACTCAAATGAATGCCCGCCCCCAGCGGGACTCGAACCCGCGACCGCTGGCACAGCAAGTAGGTTCACTACAAACTGAGCCAAACTTGTCCTAATACATCTAAGGGGTGCACCCGAGCGAAGCGAGTGTAAACTACTAGTTTAGTATATCGAATACTTTTTTATTTCTACTTTCTCCTTTGAGCATTGTTAAGTATTCGCCGACCATACGAAAATGAATAATTGTCTTGAGTCTTCTCATCATACGTCATGTACATTTTGATTTGAAATAGTTATTCAACATCGATGGCTTCATAAAGTTTTTGACATTTTTTTATGTAGTCGTATTAAATTGTACTGAATTTACACTATATGTGGTTTACATGGAGACTAGTTGTTGCGTTGTAGGGTTCAATTTTGGCAGTCACAGATTCGATTCTCGTAAATGGCGAATTATTTAATTTAATCCATTTATTTATAGCTATATTTATTTCTTTATCATCTTCATAAGCATCGTGGAACCGTCAAGCGTACCATAGTTGGTGATTGATGATCACTTTCTATGTGCATTGTGTTTGCGAACGCATGACTTGGGTATGCCTGAACGAATTTCAATGAATCTTTTATTGTATAGGAATAATTAAAAATGTAACGAAGGTTTATTTCCTTTATATAAAGCGGCAAACAGTAATACGTTATAATATTAAATGAGTAATTCTTCTATATATATTTCGTGTATGTATGTATATTTCGTGTATTTGGATCAAATTTTGTATACTATAGATAAGATTTTGCTATTTAATTTTATATATATATATATATATATATATATGTTCGTAAGTGTCTTTTCTGAAAAAAACGCAACTTATATCTTTTCCGAAAAACGCTGAGCGACGCTCGATCGTTCAGGTGGTACTTTGCATAAAGCAAGTCATTCCCACTTAAATTGAAGTTATTATAATTTTTAACATTTTTATCGTAATAAAAAGTAGGTTATAACACTGGGTAGTGCAGCTTCCTATTAGGTAGAATTTCAGAACAGGATCAGTAGTTCTAGAGATTACTCCCATAAATTTACAAGATTATACTAATACATCCAAGCTTACAAACTTATAAACTTTAACTCTTTATAATATACTAGCGAGTCCCTAGGTTGCTTTCCTATACAAACTTTCATCCCCATTTTCACCCCCCTAAGGGATGATTTTCGGAATAAAAACTACTATGTCCTTCCCAGGGTCTCAAACTTTCTTCTCACCAAATTTCATATAATTTGGTTTAGTAGTTTTGGAGCTTATTCGATACAAACAAAAAAATATGTCCTTTTTATAATATACTAGCTAGGAAGACAAAAACGAACCTATCTTACGGTAACCTTACATTTTTCACGGATAAAAAGTCCTATGTGTTATTTCAGACTATAAAAAAAACAGAGATAGCTCTGTGCCTTTCATCCAGATCCGTTCAGCCGTTCTGGCGTGAAAGAGTAACAAACATCCATACTCACAAACTTTCACATTTATAATATTAGTATAGATGTACCTATAGTAGAACTTTACTACTTTCTGTACATCCATACTTAAACATATTTTAAGTCTAGGAAATGTTACGAATGTTGGCTACAGTCAAATGTCCGTCGAGGCCGATACGTGACGCGTCGTGATATTATCTTAGTCGGTTAAATTCTTAAGCGGTAGGAATAATCGATCAATATTTTTAATTTTTTATCGCGTTACACATTCCTACTTTGATTACTTATTTATTTTACTGATTGCAACACCTCAAATAAATGCGTACGACAACCTTTCTAATAAAAAAGCTATAGTGTGATTTTTTAATAATCTTTTTCGTGCAATAATAACTGTCAATGTCATTTTAACGTTTACGCTTTTAATAGCTTCAGTTTCAACTCTATAATTATTTATTTATATATTGGAAATCGATTTTAACCTATTTCTAAACGTATCGATTTAAACTTTATTATTGTGTAAAAAATGTCAGTACAGTAGTTTGAAACCATCGAGTTGAGTTTACTATGAATAGTAATTAGTATCGATAGCTACTGGGAAACGAGTTTGAGTTTATTTAATTCGTTTTGACAAGACATATCGGTTGGTCCGAGGCATTCTTTGGGTTTTTTTTTTATTTGCAAATATAGATATTATGGACCGGATACTCACAACTTTGTCAAATAGGTCCCATAAACTAAATAGTTTCTATAGATATTAACTTATTGCGAAAAGACCTGTGCAAACCAGCGCATTACAAAATTATTATTATATTTGCCACAACCAGATATCGAATTCCATTCACATGTCAATTTTTAATATAATTTCACTTATCTCACTCGCATTTTGATAATAATAAGTTGAATAATAGGTACTCATTTACAGTTAAAGTGAGCAAACACAATTAGCCCGTCCGTTTATACATGCAACTGTAATATCGTTCCGAGAGTGAAATTGCAAAGTATCGAGTTAAAATCAATTTTAAGCAATCGTATCAGGACTCACTTTCCAATACAATTGAGTTAAATTAAAACTTTTAATTTTTTATACGAATGAATGAGCCGCATGCCATTCATATTTGAAATAAAAATTTTAGACAATTATCTGTGTAATAAAGATTGTATATAAGAGAGATGCTAGTTAGCATACAATTTTTTATTCGAAACTAGCGACTCTCCCTTTTGACAATTAGTATAGAATAGATAGACTATATATATATATATATATATATATATATATATATATATATATATATATATATATATATCTATCTATCCTCTCCACTAACTCTTATATATATAGGAGGAGAGGTTCCGGGAAGGCAATTGAGTGACGTTAGTATCGTATAAATATTAATGTCAATATTGTTAACAAAAATGTTTTTTATATGGCTAACGCTGGCTAATAACGATTTATATCTATTTAAAATGTACCTAGCGACGAACCCGAGCGAAGCGAGGGTGAGCCGCTAGTATACATATATATACATATATATATATATATATACATTTTTGTACATAATTATTATAAAGTAGTAGTAAAGTGACTTTACGTTTCTCCGTGATTTTTTTCCAATTTTTCTCTTCTTAAGGACCTTTCTCGGACTTCAACGAATATTTAAAACAAATAATTAGCCTAATCGGTTTAGCCGTTCTCAAGTTTTGCATTTAGTAACACTTTCAGCCATTCATTTTTATTTAGAAGATTAGTCCGAAGGCAACCTAGAACAATAGTGTAACTAAATCGGTAATTGTGAAGACACTAACAGAATATAATTGTAATCCGAAAAGCTTTAAGCCGAGTTAATTGACAGTGTTCTTACGATATGTCAAAGGGCGTAGTTATTTATTTACGCCCAAAGCTACTGATAGAGTATTACTCTGTTGCTTGTGAATGTCAAAGTATTTGATAAATTGGTCTAAAATTAAACTATAAGTTGTTAACATTAAGACTAGTTGTTGTGCTGTTGGGTATGATTCTGGTAGTCTCAGATTCGGTTCTCGCACAGGGTAAATGTTTATAGTAAAAATGTTTCTTCGGGGCTTATGTGTTTTTCTAACTGTGAACTGGTACTTTCAATTCGGCTAACAAAAGTTACCATTCCTAGTTTTATCATATAAATTAATAAATATGTTTAGACATTAACACATAGCACCATCTAGTTCCATGGTAAGCTATGAAGCTTCTGTTATGTATACCAGATAGTTGATACACTACACATATATATCTTTAAATACATACATATTATAAATATAAACACCCACGACTGGAGTACAAATATTCGTGCTCATCACACAAATGAATGCCGCCAGCGGCACTCGAACCCGCGCGTGGTCACTCCAAGGCCCAAGCTGAGCCATCCGTGTCGACACTTGAGATAGAGATTGTTAGACACATACGGCAAGGCGGCATAAAGCGTTAGCAACTCATAAATTTTCGCCTGTGTATCTTCTAATACTATTATTCTGGCAACATTTTTTTGTGTATCCTAGGCTCGAGTGTTTAGCAGCTATTACTCAAAATTTCACTAGATCACGCAATGCCGTCCATTGGTGGAAAATATGTTTAAAATGAGTAGTATAGAAAGTGCGTAAAAATATCAGTATAAAATATAAATTGTAATAGCAGTTCTTGTGTATACATATATAAAAATATTTCGTGTATCTCTGCTGTAACGATTCAGATGAAATTTTGTATTTAGATAAGATTTGGCTTCTTCTGATTGAAGATTTTGATTTTTCTGAAAAAAACCATTTTTATAATTATGTATGTATTCAGCCCTTTTTAACGTCCTACTGCTGGGCACGGGCCTCCCTTCAATACGAGGGGGCTCAGGCCATAGTCCACCACGCTGGCCAAGTGCGGGTTGGCGGACTTCACGTGTCTTTAGAAAACTTGCTAGGTTCTCTCAGACATGCAGGTTTCCTCACAATGTTTTTCTTCACCGTTAACACAAGTGGTAAACATGTTGGAAATGATTTGCACATAAAAATATCAGAGGTGCGAGACCCGGGATTTAAACTCGCTTCACTCGGTTTCCTAAGCGAGCGAGTTACCACTGCCTTAGTTTTATATCTTAACCGAGAAAAACAGCGCCCAGATACTAGTATATTATATAAGATTTTAGATTTTATTATTTATCTATATATTTTTCATGTTTCTAGCTTCCGAATGGCCAGTAGTGAACAAGCCATTGAAAGTGATACAAACCAAAGAGAACAAATTGTCGAACAGATTTTTTCCATACGACGATATTGAAACGGAATGCCAGCTGACGATTGACGATGACATCGTCATGTTAACTCCAGATGAGTTGGAATTCGGGTGAGTTCGTGTTTTTTTTATCTATACATATAAATAACATTGAAGTGTCTATCTGTGATTTCGAAATAAATATGTTCTCTCAGGTACCTACATAGAGTTATTTATATGATACCCGTATCTTTTTGAAATTTTTGTCTGTCTGTTTGTCCGGGGTAAACTTTGGAACGGCTTAACTGATTGTAATTGAATTTTAACTGACAGCCAGAGGAGTTTATAGGGCTACATATAAGGTATGTTTTATTCAGGGAATATTTAGGGTTCCAGCGCGAAAATCAAAAACCGTTAAAAATTAGGCATAATTAGATTTACGATTAGTTATTTGAAAAGTCCGCGATACCTAACGTGTATTTTGTGTGTACAATCACAATAACTATTTTTATTCATTGAAAACGTTTAAAAAAATCGATTGACAAACAGAAGAGATAAAGGTACTCAACTGTTTTGTTGTTGCCTATTTATATATAGATACAAGTTATCATTGATATTATTGGTAATATTAAGGATTTTGTAACAGTAGCGCGATGACGGTAAATTCGAATATACGAGACGTTTTTATTAGTTAAAAGACCGCTTATAGAGTTACTAGCAGAACCTGCGGCTTTGGCCGCGTTTAAAGTATAAAAAACAAACTTTTCTTTCCCTTCTATTTACAATAATATATGGAAGTCTGCCCGATTTGTTGACATTTATAATTACTGCTCCGCTCCCTTGGGTAGAAGCATAATGATATATAACCTATAGCCTTCCTCAATACACGGGTTATCTAATGCAAAAAGAATTTTTCAAATCGAAATAGTAGTTCCTGAGATTAGCGCGTTCCAACAAAGAAACAAACAAACTCTGCCTCTTTATAATATTAGTATAGATTTGTTTTATATAAACTGATCGATTTGCTTTTAAATAATAAATTTGATTTCATGATTTTAATATGTATAAGTCCAATAGCCTATTTCTAAATGTTTGTCACCTAGTAGAAAAAAGTTAACAATTTTTTGTTAGTCTCTTTTTTTTCTTTTTTTAAATATATTGGGACATTAACACACATCACCATCTAGTTCCATGGTAATGCTACGAGGCCTGTGTTATGGATACCATATAGTTGATACACTACAAATATATAACTTTAAATACATACATATTATAAATATAAACACCCATGACTGGAGTACAAGCATTCGTGCTCATCACACAAATGAATGCCCCCAGCGGGACTCGAACCGCGACCTCTGGCACAGCAAGTAGGGTCACTACAAACTGAGCCACATGCGTCGTCGTTGTTTGTATGTTACGTTAAATTTTGAAGGATTTTATTTAAACGTAGATTATAAACTATGATTAATAATGATTTATTTTTTTAATTACTCATAACCATCATAACATGACATTTCAACATTATGTATGAATATATATACATACATAATACATATAATGAATTGAAATTTTTTAAAGTTTTTAGATTAACTTTATTTTGTACTTGTATTCAGCCTTTTTTTTAATGTCCCACTCATGGGCACTTCAATACGAGGTGCATGTAGCCATAGTCCATCACGCTGGCCAAGTGCAGTTTGGCGGACTTCACATGTCTTTTGAAAACTTGCTAGGTTCTCTCAGACATGCAGGTTTCCTCAAGTTTTATTTTGTACTTAAAATAACTTGTAAGTTTGATAAGTTTCAGTATTTTGTACTTAAGCTTATCAAACTTATAACAGCTTTCCGAAATAAATAATAAGCTTTCAGTCAATACATCAGTATCATATGTCACCAAACATTTATTTAGATCCATATAAATTGAGTTAACTACATAACACGTTTAGTCGACTATATGACCTAAAACAATCAAGTATCGATTTTTTAGTATTGACAAATGGTGTCCGAATAGTGTCCGAATGCCTGGCAATGCATATTCAATCATTTGAATAACCGATCAGCTATCTACAAATAATGATTAACGAGATGATTAACGATTAATGTCTTTCCGCACTTTTTGATCGATTTAAAAGAGAAATTAGCTATTTTGTTTTTTTTTTTGGTATGTTACGCAATATTTTTGTTACTATTTTTATGAAAAAGTTATATACTATACATATAAAAGTGGTCGTAACTTTGAAGAAAAGTATTACCCGTAAAAGTGATAATTTTAGAGTGAGTTCGAAATCAGTGTACCTTAGTTACTTATCGGACGATTAACGAATGGCCTGATTTATTTTAGTACGATATTTTATTATCATATCTTTGTACTTAAATTATTTAATCAGTTGAAAAACTTACAACTATTACTAGGAGTCTATAGATACTGTATTACGAATATACAAAATGACTGTATGGTATAATATTTGTTAATAATATAGCAAATACTTGTTTCTTGTTGAGTTCTGTTGACACAAATGTTTGTTTGTCTGTCTGTCCTTCTTTCACGTTGTAACAGAGTGACGGATTGGCGTGATTTTTTGTGTGAAGATAGTTGGAGGGCTGGAGGCTTTTTATAGGAGGTTATCTCATTCCTATAGGAAAACCTTCACCCTACCTATGTATATTTATACTTAGTTTATCTATTCCATACTAATCGTTAACTACACGCTTTAATCAAAATAAAATTCGTTATTTAATCTGTTTATTTGCGAAATTATGTACATATTTAAATGAAAATTAGTAATTTGTTGAAAACAAGTCTGGTGGGGAGGAAAGTGCGCTAAGTAGTGCTTGACTGTAACCCCTCTGTCTACACTCTAGTAAGGGATGTGCTGTGAAGATGTTTGCTTATTTGTTATGTACGTACATATGAAAAGTGAAACTATTCAAATATTTTTTTTCATACGGAATATAGCAGGAAAAATAAATAAGCCCGCTATAGAATGTTTATGTGAAACGTGAAAGGCCTTATTTTGTTTGGATTTGGTATAACTAAATTGTAAAGAGAGAAGGATTTCTCGTATATTTTTTTATGTTATATTCAAATATATATTTTATAGAGGCAGTGGTAACCCAGTGGTAGTGCGCTCGATTGGCGCTAGCGGGTTCAAATCCTAAGTCTCGCAACTCTGATATTTCTTTCATTTGCGAATCGTTTCCAACTTGATTACCACTTGTCTTACGGCGAAGAAAAACATCGCTAGGATACCAGCATGTCTGAAATAAACGTAGCAAGTTTTCGAAAGGTATTTGAAGTCCGCCAACCTGATCGCCGTCGTATTGTATGGAGGCCCGTACCCGCCAGTGGGACGTTAAAAAATCTAATTCTAATTTAAACTTGCATTATGAAAAGCGAAATTGCGAACAAAAATCCATTTAAACATAATATATTCAAAATAATCGCAAGGAGATAACGGTTCCATGAAACCAATTACGCGATAGAACGTTTGGATGAATTGTTTAATTTCATTTAATTTATGTGTCTCATATTATGAATAGATATTCTCTCGCAAATATTTTGTTACGAACCTCGTAAATCATGATGAGAAAATTCTACTGTTACGTTTTTATACAACACGTTGAAATATCTCGCTTATCTCGCTGATATATTAAAGTTGTAGTTAGCGATTAAATAAATCTCGATAGCTAATCGCTTGATTAATCGATTTATAAATAATACATAGCCTTTATTGTATTTGTTAAGCAGTTAAAGAAATTCATTTAAATAAAAAAAATGTGTTACGCTAAACGTTTGTTTGTCACGCTATAATGGCTGAACAAAGAATGTATGTATTCATATAGGTATATTACTGTATAAGTCACTGTTGTAAAATCACTAGGTACATAATATAAAACAAAGTCGCTTGCCGCTGTCTGTCTGTCCCTATGTATGCTTAGATCTTTAAAACTACGCAATGGATTTTGATGCGGTTGTTTTAATAGATTAAAGAGGAAGGTTTTAGTATATAATTTGTTAAGTTTTTGTATACATTGGCTAAAATATAACGATATTTGTTAGTGTCGGAAAAAAATAAGCCGTCTGGGAGCTTTCAACGAAAACGCTGCCTAAACCCTTTGAGATATAACAAAATAATGTATGTTGGAATTGTGTATCTTACATAGGTGTACAGAAAAGTCCGCGATGGCGATGGATATGTCTATCTCTTAAGGATAACATACTATATCCATTTTAATTTTAAACGTAGCTAGGGTTGAACCCGAGCGAAGCAAGGGTGAGTCGCTAGTAAAATATACATTAAAATATACGCAAGCAAAGCAGTCTCCATAAACTAGTATTTTATAATTATATTAGACGTATAGTATGAACAAACAAGGCCGTGTCAGTAATATTTTGTAGATTTATTTTTTCTAGTGATTATTATTAGAAAATACATGGATTTATTGAAATAATTGTATAATATTTTTTTGATAAGACATTTTTCTCGGCTTCGTCCGAAATCTTCTAGTTTTTTGTCTCCGCTTTTTCTCTTACAAAGTAAATTGTTAAACCTAATATCCTGAACGTGAAAGTTTGTTGAATGGATGGCGCTGAACAATACCCTTTAATCTAAACCAGCATTTTTAGATTCTTTAAGTTGAGTACAAATATCTATAAAATCATCGAGGAAAATATTTGGATAACCATTGAATGCTTTATACTTATACAATGGTATAGAAAGCGGCAAACAAGTATTTGCCCAAGATCAACAATCGAGCGGTATAAGAGTCCCAAAAATCGACTTTTGCTTAGTCAAGGTTGTACTTCCCCGTGAAAATAGTTTATAGTGCCACATCAAAAGGGTATATAAAAAAGTTTGTTTGTTTGTTTGTTTGTTTGTTTATTTGTTTGTTTGTCTGTCTGTTTGTTGCTTTTTTATATTGGCTGCAGGGGGGGAAGTTCGGAATTGAGATAGCGTTTTATCGTGCATCTCTGATTTATTGTGTATTTATATCACATCTAGGCAATTTTTATTAACGTACCCACCACGCATAGCACAAGTGGAGTAGCGAGACAAAACTAGTTTTTCATTAAGTCAATGTAAACAATATTTTAAATACGATTAGGCTAATGAGGAATTACCCAATAAAAATGCATGAAAAAAAGTTCTGTAAAATACTACTCTCCGTCACGATATCGTGCTTACACCTATCCCTTAAGTTTGACAAAATTATATAAATACGTATAATTAACTTTGAACTCTAACACCTGTTGCTTAAGGCGAATATTCTTTGCGCCGAGCTTTGGGAATGTTCGTGACTTTTGTACTAGACGCAGACATTTGCTAGACGAAAATGTTGTTTGGAACAGTCTGTGGTCGGTTAACTTTGTTTTTTGCAAAATAAATCCTAATGTTAATGACACTGAAAAGAATTTGTCGACTTTCATTTAACACGAAGTAGAAAAGAGTATGTGTATTTATTTGAGACTTGAACAAATAAATTTTTAGGTAATTTATTTTAACTTGAAGTTACACATTCGTCGAAATCGCCTTGAAAATATAGTAATTCCTCCCTTATGGGTGGAATATTAGTATTTTTACCACCTTTAATATATGCTCCGTTCCATTAGAAAAAAATATCATAAAAATTATTAATTAAGTAACAAAGAATAATGCTTATTTTTCTCAAAAAAAAAATGTTTACACTTGTGAATTAACATTTTTATCTTATTTTAGTTTACATAAAAATTAATATTAATTGGATGCCTCTGTTTCCGTACTAGGAAGCCTGGAAGGCCTGGAGAAATTGTCTCGGAATAGATAGAAATACCGCATGAGATACACAAAAAACAGATACATACATACATCTGAATGAAAATTTCTCTGTCAGTTAAAAATACAAAATTAAAACGTTAAAATGTATACGAATTTTTTTTTTAAATTAAGCTTGTAATATTTTTTCATATATGTATTTATTTACGTTAAATTGCTTTTGCTGAGTAGAAAAAAGACAGCTGTCCGTTTCCCAAACATGTCGGCACGTGCCACGTGTCGTTCATCCGACAGTTCGAGAAATTTATCTGTATGGTTTCTTTTAATTTATAGATAAACTAGTGACTCACCTTCGCTTCGCTCGGGTTCATCCCTAGTTACGTTTTAACGTTTAATATAGCTTTCTCAGAGATGAGATATTTTCCCGCAGTAAAAAGTATCCTATATGTTGACTCGGATAACCAGTTGTTATCGTACCAAATTTCGTCAAAATCTGTCCAGTAGTTTTCTCGTGATGCGTTCCCAGACAGACACACAGACAGATAAAAATTCTGAAAACTATAGATTCTTCTGTATCGATAATAATGATTATTTCAATAAGATTTTCCAAAAAGTATTTAATGCACGTATTCGACTCAGAATTTTATTTTAGTTTTACATAAAATATTAAATCTATTTTACTAAAACTTCTGTCGGCACGCTGGCCGTGCTCGAGAAGTAAGGGTGAAAAATATTTAACCCATGTTATTAAAACCTCGAGGAAAGTAGGCATCGTCATTCGTACATACTTCTCTACCAACGAAACAGCTCAATATTCTATCTATCTTTGGTTAGCCTTACTTATGGATAGAATTTCTTGACATACAAATTTTGTCAAATTCGTAGCGTTCTTAGCAAAAGTTCTACATATTTTATTGTTTTGTTCAAAAATTTAAAAAATATAAGTATTCAATATATCTGCATTTGTTTTTCAAATGCGAAAACGAACTCCACGTATCTCTTTGGTACTTCACGCTTGGACGCTTCGACAGATCGTTGAGTTGGTCACACGGACGGTTGGTGTCACGGAGATGGATATAGACTGTTTTTATCCACTTTTAAAAGGAAAATCGTTTAAATTTCACATATAAATGCTCGTAATTCATACATTGGACATATAAATAAATGAAGTTTTATTCAAAAATTAGTCTTACGTTAAAGGGGTTTTAATTTTTGGATTTAATAATTTTTCAATTGAAAAAGGTATCTATTTATTATATTAGTGTATCATATACTATTACTACCTGAGTAAGTACTAATTACAAGGCATTATTTACTTTCACCTATCAATTAAAATATCGATATTTCAGGTATTATTACCTAATTCTACCTTTAAATTAAAATATCAGAGAAACAACGACGTGGTTAGTTTCTAGAAAGCCAATTACGTGAGATAATCAACCATAAGGTGTAATTGTGGTGTGCGTTACAAGCATTGCCGATTATAAAATAGATAGCTTTGATTTCTGTATTAGGCATCGTTTTATATTGGTTTCTTATTAATTTCTAACTTACATTATTAGGCCTCTGGCTCCATTCGTGCATTGATCAGCTTTCGTTATTCAGTGAAAATCTTGTTAAAATGGGCGATCCAGTTTTGACAATTATCAAGCACATACAGACTGATAAATAAATACTTCAATTTTGTTTAAACTATTGACTTAAGCTCGCTTCGCTCGAGTGCGTAGGTACTCTCTCTGGGGTACTTTTTCAATAGTTAAAAATAGTTAGTGTAAGTGTATCTTATGATACACACACGCTAATTGTTAATTCGAATTTTGCGTAATTATTAAAGTTTTTCGATTTTCATGCCAGAACCCTAAATATTTCCGGGAATAAAACATACCCTATATGTAGCCCTACACACTTCTCTATCTTTCAGTGAAAGCCTCATTACCATGGATACAGCTGATCCAGAGATTACCCCGGACAAATAGAAAGATAGATAATTAAAAAAAAGGATTGTTTAGGTACTGGTTACATATAAATGACTTTATTTACTTGAGAAAACATATAATTTATTTTGAAATCACAAACAGACACCTCAATTTTATTTATATGTATAGATATACATATTTTTAAAAACGTTGTTTTTGGTTTATTATTTTTGTATATGTTAACCTACAAAAATATTGTAATATTTATTAATATGCTTACAGTTTCGACGTATGGCGGGAATTCCCCGATAGAATAGTCGGGTTTCCCTCGCGTCTGCACGTATGGGACAACGTCACGAATTCATGGAGGTACCATAGTGAATGGACTAATCAAATCTCTATGGTAAGTAGTTCAAAGTTGCCCTGTAGGTAATATAATATATAAAGATAATTATTTAATGTTGAAAGTATTCTGTACTCACTGTTGTAGTCTATTTTCCTAGATACTATGAATAGAGTTGAGAGATCCATAATTATATAATTAAATACGTTCGATCTTAGAAGTCAACCAAGAGAAACAAAAATATTTATTTTATTAAGTGCATCACGTTCATATACCAAATATATGAGTTCGTTAGGAATACCGAATAGATTTTCTATAATATTAAATTGCATTGTCAATTACAAAAGTTTGGCAACACGTTTGACTCAGTTTGTAGTGACTCTACTTGCTGTGCCAGCGGTCGCAGGTTCGAGTCCCGCTGGGGGCATTACATTTGTGTGATGAGCATGAATGTTTGAACTCCAGTCATGCGTGTTTTTATTTATAATATGTATGTATTTCTGCTACTGCCCAAGGGAGCGGAGCAGTAATCATTATTACTAATAGCATAAGAAGCTTTTTTGTAGTTTTAGCGCGAACGAAGCCGCGGGATCTGCTAGTATCTATTTTGGTAAGAAATAAGGAATGTTCCGGCTATTTTGAAAAAAAGCTACATTGAATAATAGTATGGATGTAAACTATCAAATACACGATAAAAACAAACACACGAAAATATATTTTAATCACTTCCAGGTATTGACTGGAGCAGCCTTCCATCATAAGATATGGTCTTGGTACTATACGTACAAAATGCCCTCCGAAATCCGGACGTGGGTGGACGATAATTTCAATTGTGAAGACATCGCTATGAACTTCCTAGTCGCTAATATTACTAGAAAACCACCTATTAAGGTTATCTATTTATCTATATTACCTAATATATAAAAATCACGTGTCAAATTGTTTGTGGTCGCACTCCTCCGAAACGGCTCGACCGATTTTTATGATTTTTTTTGTATACTAGGTACGTTTTAAATAGATATAAATAGTTATTACCCAGCGTTAGCCATATAAATTTTAATATGGTTGTTAAGTATTCTTAAATAAGTATTCTTAAATTTTATAATTTTCCGCGCAAATTTATAATTTTTTTCTTTCATAAGAACCTTCTCCTGACAATAACAAACACAACAAAAAAAATTAGTTAAATCGGTCCAGCCGTTCACGCGTGATGGCGTGACCAAGGGAAATAGGGATTCATTTTTATATATATATATATATAGATTTGGTAGGTATGAGAATAGTTAAGTAAAGTATTTTTTTAGCCTCCTACAGACACCCCTCATTTTCAAATATTCACTTTCTGGTTAAAGACGTGGCTATTTTGAGAAGTTGAAGATTTATTTATTGCTTAAGGGGGTTCCCCGTGTGACGGTCTGTTTTTTAAGCATATTTGTTTATTTTTGGCTACCAATGAAAATATAGATCTTAGAGATTTCTATCATTGATTTATTATATCATAAGTTCGAAAAACATAGTTTAAAAAAACGCGTTAAATTTTTCAAGTACTGTTAAAACTATGAAAACTTAACTTACCATCAATCTGCGAAGCAAATACAAACTGCATCACTTTACCACTATATTCCACACATGTTAAGAAATTAATTTATGCAAAAAAAACACGATTTTTGAACCCATCACACCGGGGACTCCCCTTAAATAAGATACGTTTACTTATAGTGTAAAAGAATTTATACATTTACCAATAAGCCTTCCACTTTCACTAGTTTCAGTTTCACCAATTGGACCCAGTTATGCAAAAAACAGCCATGTGCGTAAAAGTACCAACAGAGTTATAAGAATTTTTCTGTCGATAGTTGCACTTTGGTTATGTTTTTTTTTTCTGGTCATTTTAAAATTGAACAATATTTATATAAGTGTTGTTTATTTTTTATAATTATTTTATTTTTTATAATAAAATGCTTATAACTCTGTTGGCACTTTTACGCACATGGCTGTTTTTTGCATAACTGGGTCCAATTATTTATACTATTTCTCCAAATTTAAGAGTTGCACAGTGATATCATACAACTACCTTAGTGTATTCAGCCCTTTTTAACGTTCCACTGTTGGGCACTGACTTCCCTTCAATACAAGGGGGATCAAGCCATATTCCACCACGCTGGCCAAATGCGGTTTGGCGGATACCTTTATAAATAAGCTTTACTGTGGAATATTTTTTAGAAATACGACCTGTAGTTACAGATATTAACGTGTACAAGCAAACAAAATAGCTTCAAGCTTACAATATTATGTAACGAATACACATTATATAATATGCTTAAAATAAATAATAACATGTTATTATTTATGCCTTCCAGGTAACTCCCCGTAAAAAGTTTAAGTGTCCAGAGTGTACCAATACTGAAATGTTGTCTGCCGACGCCCGCCATATGTCGCAGAGATCTGCATGCATTGATAAATTTACGCGGATTTACGGACATATGGCGTTAAAGTCCGTGGAATTCCGCGCGGATCCGCTACAATACAGAGAAACTGGGTCCGGGATTCCGCAAGTCTATCCCGATATAGGAGCGTTGTAAGGTTGAATGAAGGTGATCAGTCGCGAAATTCCGCACGTTTACACTTTGCGGAATGTCGATACGTGAGTGTGTTAAGGTAAGATTATTTGGGCCCTTATTTTGAATTAGTTTTCCATACTTCTTTTATATTATTTTTATTGTTCTATATATATATATATATATATATATATATATATATATATATATATAAATATTATATTACGTACATATGTATGTATGTGTATTTAGTCAATTTTTGTATATCATACAGTATATATAAAAACGATAATTCTTTTTTATATAGATTTTTTTATCAATATGTATTTTATAATTAAACGTTTTAAGGGAATAAGTACCTAAATAGTCACTTAATTTTTATTCCAAATAAAATGTAGGAAATGTATACAATTCAAATAAAATACGAGGGCCCTTTAGTTATTTGAGGATCGGACAATAAATTTTATCAGAGAACTTCGAAAGGCTGTATGTGAAGTAAAATGGGAATCGTCCCCCCAATACCAGGGTATTGTAGGTTTAACTGCCAATAGAATCCTTTCACATGTGTGATTTGAATAATCGATTGGAATGATCGACCACTCGCGCTTGACTTTTTATATGGAGAGAAGAGTATCGATATTCTATATTGTATCGATTTGTGTTTTATCTGTGTACTTTTAAAGTTAAAAAAGTACTTTTTAATTTATCAGTGAGCACAGTATTGTTTGAAAAATTAAATAAGAAAAAAGTGAAATTCCATTTTTTAAACTTATTATAAATTTAATTTTTTAAAGTTGTCTAAACTCTTCTCTCGATGTTCCAATTTAAATTATATTAATATTTATCTGTATATTTTTTCTCTGTGCCATCAATTCTTAGAACTGTCAATTGTCTTAATATTGACATTTTAAACGCTAATAAATATTTTAATGTAAAACCCACAAAACAAAGAATAAGAATAATTATTTTAAAAGGTCAAAATAACATCAATAAGTCTTAACTCATTTAAACTTTTATTATGTTTTATGAAGTTTTTTTTTATTTCAGTACATTTTAAGTTTATATTGTTTTATAATATGTTTATTTAGTCTACATTCAATATGATTTTTAAAAACAATGTTCTGTGTAATTAATAATTTCGTATTTACATTTTTGATACTTTGTTTTTTTTAATATGTTATTTACTAACAGTTAAATATTCGGTGAGAACAACTACATTTTCTTTAATTGCCTCTTAATAATTTTACAATGAACAAAATATCAATTTAGATCATTTTTTTATATATATTTTACAGTCATCTTTAGGTACATATTATTTTTAGACCTTTATAGTACACTTGCTTTATTCGTGGCAGCTTTTATGATTAATTTTGTGTGGACATAATAATGAAACGAAAAAATATATCGGACAATTAAAATAATGATCAAATACAGAATAATATATTAACTATAATTAACACAAAAAATAATACAGATTATAAATAATTTTGAATGGTGTAAAATAATTTTTTAATAAAATACTGGTTTCACGCACTGAAACCTCAAATCTTGCCATTCCTTTGGAAATAGTATTCATTAAGTTTTTAATTTTAAGACAATAAATATGTAATAATATTGACATAAAACATGGGTTTTATCACCTATGGTTTATATTTGATGTAAAATATAAAGAAAATAGTTTTTTTTATAGTTTTTTACACTTTCCTTAGCATTTATAGTTTTTTTTTGTATATGTCATAATTGTTCTATAATGTCTCTCTAAATTGTCAAAATCTTTAAATCCTAAGATGTGACTTCGTTTTGCCACTTTTAACTTTGTGTCATTTAGGCTATTATATTATATAGTCTACTTCTTGGCTCGTACTTGTTGTGTATTTTACAAAATGGTAATACATACACAATATTATTTTTTATCATAATTTTTAAATATATTTTTTTATTATTATTAAATATGAAATTGTTTTTACACAACACTAAATAAATTCTTTAAACATACTTTCATATAATATATCATACGTACTATATATTTTTATGGCAAAAACGAAAGGAGTGCAGTTAAAAGTGGTGAAAAAAACGATCAAATTTTTAAAATATTGTCCTTAGATATAGTAATGATATTCTAAAAATGTTAGAATCGATTTAGTTTAGAAAAAATTTAGTCCATCTCGACATATCGGTGCTTGAGTGAAGGATAATTCCTAATTATTATTATAAAGTAGATATTATATGTGTTTGTAACGCACGTTATATGTAGACTTATAGATAGTGCGGTTTGCGATATTTTTTGTATGGCCGGCAGCTGAGTACGTGGACGATTACGAGTGAGTAATCGCTTTTGGAATCGATTATTATGGTTTATAATATCTCGTACTTTGACACGTTTAATCATAGACATAGAGAGTGGACTGAGTATTTCTTAGGCATTCGTCGGCTAAAAATGTTGGGAAGGTGCGACGGAAACAAAAACGCGGCCAGAAGTCTTCTATAATCATTGAAATATGTTTAATGAATATAGATATTTATAACAATTTTTTTTCTATCACACCGTGTTATATTTTTTACATTCCAATCATAAATTCAAATTGGAATAAATGACAGGTATTGGCCTCACTTTCGCTTTCTCTCTGTCTAGAGAGTATTCAAATTCATAATGGTTAAACTTATTATTAAAAAAATATGGCATTTTTATTATATTTATTGAAGTTAAATATGTAATCGATTAGATTATGTATCGATATGTAAATTATGTAATCGATTTTTCGTAATCGTCCACTAAGTATTATTCAGCAGCCTTATTTTATATAATAGAGCACATTATTTTATTACGAGAATAAAAATAATGTTCATATAATTTTATATAATCTGTGGTTCTTTGATGTTGTTAATAATTTATATGTGAGTATTTTGCGAATTATAATCTATATTTTATTTTATTGGCAATAATGACAGCTATCGCATTTTGCAACTTTACTTTGATTTTCAAATGATTTTTATTTAGTTACATAATATTGCATATTATGAATTTTTGATGACATAAAAAAATAAATATTTGTTTTTTTATTAAAATTGTTGATTATAAATAAATATGTATTCAGTGTGCATGTAAGTTATTCTTTAAACTTAAAGTTTTGACAGTTTCATTTTGGTCTTCTTTCACTACATATTCTAACGATCTAGATAGTCTATATATCGAATATCGATCGATATTATCGATATATTTCTATACTATCGATATATCTCTATATTATCCAAAGATTAGTCGAAGATATTTTCAATTGAATTTGAATAATAATATAAAAATGAAAAAAATATATTATATTTTTTTTATATTACTTTATACAGATCGATTATTAATTTAATTCTATTACGTGTTTAAGTAAAAATATATATTTGTTTATAATCTACAATTTACAATGAATTACAATATGTTATTTTATTTTTAATTCGTTTGGTAAGTACATGAGAAATTTATTTTAAGATAATGTAAATTAAAATGGCTTCTACACGCGAAGATATTTTTAAAACATAACCAAAGACCTTGTCGACTAGTCTCGAAGATATTTATAATTTTTCGCATTTAATCGTATTTTAATTATACTTCTTGTGTCGTTACCAGCGCTATATCAAAAGGACAGACTGAGTATTTTCATTTTTTTATATATATATAAAATAAATAGATATATTTAGATGTAGGTAAATGAATTGTAGTGCGTAGTTGTAATTTTTTGTACTAACATTGATCATTAGTTGTATAAACTACAAGTAATATGACGCAAGATGGCGTGTTTTAATGCTTCTTAAAAGTAGTTTGTACTTTTTTTATTTTAATAATTGTATATAAATAATTTTAGATTTGAATAAGTAAGATTAGTATCCTGTTGGTAGCTACAGCCAATAGAAATTATAATGAAATACGATTTTTTGTTTATGAAATGTTCGATACGAAAAATCGATTGTATTCAGCCCTTTTTAACGTCCCACGCTGGGCACGGGCCTCCCTCCAATACGAGGGGATCAGGCCATAGCACCACGCTGGCCAAGTGCGGGTAGGCGGACTTCACATGTCTTTTTGAAAACTTGCTAGGTTCTCTCAGACATGCAGGTTTCCTCACGATGTTTTCCTTCACCGTTAAGATAAGTGGTAATCATGTTGGAAATGATTCGCACATGAAAATATCAGAGGTGCGAGACCCGGGATTTGAACCCGCTTCACTCGGTTTCCCAAGCGAGCGCGTTACCACTGGGCTACCACTGCATAAACAAATCGAAAAATCGATTATATTATAATAATTATTAAATATCTTATGACACATCAAAACATAATACTTTCTTAGATTTACGCGAATATTTGGCATTTTAAATAAAACTATCTTTTCGAATTATTTCGCGGATTTATGTTGATTTTTGGTTCCCGACGTTTCGAATGTTTTACAGCAATCATGGTCACGGGAGAGACTAAGGTTTTAGAATTTAGACGTATCAAAGGCGTTATATACTTGTCATTTTTGTAAAATTGTGGGTAGGCACTGTCTTCAATAATCCGAAAAGATGGTTTTATTTAAAACAACAAAACATTATAAAGAAAGAAATCTGATGGTTTTTTTTTTAATAAGACCGTCATTGAAACCGAGCTTTCGCATCATTTCGTTTAAATCGGCCTAAACTAAATAGCGAGGGTATTCGTAGAAGAGCTTACAGTAAAAATAGTATTTTGACAAAATCTTTAATAACTTTTATCTACTATTTAAAATAATATTTAATGCTTTGTACCACAATTTCATATATCTGTGACAGTGACAATTCAAGACAAAATATAATTTTGGGGTGGAAATTTAATAAGTCAATTTTAGTATAGACTATATCAAAGAAGTGTAACGTATTGTCCTTTTTATATATTGGTATTTTTTATTTAAAAAAAGAAAACAGTCTAGTCTATGGTTTATTATTGATGGAACTGTCTCTGAAGCTCGTTTCATGTTTGCGTTATAAATGATTTAGTTTAGTCAAAATAATATAATTCC